CAGCAAGGTTTATGTGTCCGCTGCATGCATTTATGGCTTCATAGTAAGTGTAATTTAAAAATTAAAAATTAAAATTAAATTAAAATTAAACGTTAATTAAAAAAAAAAGTAGGGAGAAGAAAAGGGAGAAAGCAGAGGTTCTAGCAAGGAAGATGGTTTTACTGGTTGGTAGTATGGGTTTGGGACATTCAATGGCGGTTCAAGAAGCACCAAGTTAATTTTTAGAAAGCTTTTTAAGTCTCTACCTGAAAGCTGCTCTGCAGATAGCAGCTACTTACGATGTTAGAATGACAACTGCAAATACTTTTAAAACAAAATTGGTTTAAAGGCAACACTGCTGATCACAGGCCTGGGGTGCGGGAGCATCTACCTGGTTCCCTTCCCCCAAAAGAAAGCTGTGCTTCACTTTGTCCCTTTATTGTTGGTCCTACTTCTCCAGTAAATTAAAGCGCAGCTGTAAGTTGGCAAGTGCAGGATGCATCTTCTGGCTAGTCCAGTGCTATCAAATAATTTATGCAGTTGGCATCATCTTTATCTGCCTAAGCACCTTTCCTGTGTGAAACTGACTGGGACACATGCTGTGACACTGGAGTAACCTTTCTGCAGTAGTTACCAAATTTTCTAATGGAGTTAAGCTGACCAAATCTTCCTTAAATCAGTAACATTGAAAAAAAAGTAGCACTGTTCATTTTCAAAGTTAATGTCTGTATGAGAAAGCTGCTATCGTGAAGGTATAGTCATGCCTGCCTTCTGCTTATGGTCCAAGTGCTTATCCAACTTGCTCAGTGAACAGAGAAACCTGCCTGTGGCACCCTCTGCAATTCTTCTCAAGCACAAAGTGGGTTTAATCTCTTTTCGGGTAACCATTTCACTTATATGAATGCCAGCTCCTGTCTTTGTTAGCCCTGGCAGCTGAAGTGCGGGGCTTGGTAGGAGAGCATGACTTTCCCCCAGCCTCACTCAGTCCCTCACCAAAAGCATGGAGAGGTTTTTAGCCTGGCACGGGATGCAATTACATGGAAAAAGCAACTAGAATCTTAATGAAAGTATAATTTATTGAGAACTTCCATTTGGGAAGTGACTTGAAGGTCATGTTAAATGAACGACCCCGATATTCCTGAATTTCAGCTTTAAGCAATTTATGAGGTACTATGTCTCACTGTTAAGTCAAGCCCGCTCAGAAGTGGTGGTTAGTGGTCTCACCTGCTAATAAGGGAAAATAATAAGAAACTGGCCTAGCCATGAGAGTCGTACAACATGCGGATCTTGACTGTTCACTTACTAAGTCAAAACCCTAAAAAACGTAACAAGCTGCAGCTGAAAGCTTCTTAGTAAAAAAAATAAATTCAGATGACTTTTTAAGTCTGCTCTTTGCAAGATTTTTTTGGCAGGTCTGCTAGGCCAGTGGCAGTGTTAAGATAAAGCTGGATTCAAAGATGTAGTTTCTGATTAATAATAATAATAATACTTACTATTATTATTATTATTATTATTATTATTATTATTATTATTATTATTATTTAAAAAGGTTAGAGGGAAAGGTCACATATATTCACATAGCAAAATCTATCCGATGTTTGCCAAACCACTGCACATAGCTGTACCAGGCTAAAATCACCTGATCCCATCAGAACTACTGAAGCAAACTCCTGTATGGAAAGGCTCTGTGAAGCTCTTAATTGTCCATGATTAGACATAATCTCTTCCTCACCCACCCGAATTGCGAAGACATTTGCCAAGAAGCAGCTTACTGCATTAGGGATGTCTTTCAGGATGCCTTTGGGCCCTGCAAACACCAAAGTTCCAAGTGGCTTGCGCACAATCAATCCTTTCCAGAGCTCTCAGCGAGGGCAAACAGTCTCGTGTGAGGCTTGAAGGAGTCCTTCAAAGCAGCTGTTCAGAAATGCGTGAAGTATGAGGCACATTATATCCTCTTCCCACAGACTGAGAGCCAGATGTTCAAGTGGGTGTAAAGCAGCAGAGCCTTGGTGTGACTTTTTTGGGGGCCATGATGATTTACCAGCCAAGAATCTGGTCCTAAGTGTTTCAGCCAAGTGACTTCCCCGACCTCTGCTGCCAAAGGGCCCAGTTTTGTAATCTCTGGTCTAACATCCATCCCTCACTGACGCCCTGCGTGAGGTGAGGAGGGATGAAAAGTGCTCAGGATTTCTGGCTAAAGGTGCTGGAAAGAGAAATCTCTCAGGAGATTCCTGACACAGCTTCTCCAGGCTGGTTTGCTGAAGGGTTTCGGTTGTGGTGCACTTACATATTTTCCTTCCTATGTTTCTGCTGCTAGCAGTGTACGTCGCTTCTTTATATCGTTTCCTCCCAAAGCAAGTTCCCTTTTGCACCCCCTTAAGATCAGGAAATGAGAATATTCCTATGCAAAGGTGTTCCTGTACTTTTTTTTTCCCCCCTCCCTTCATAACTTGGGTCTTCCTGAAGCAGGGACGAGGATTAGTGTGGGGGGGAGGTATGGATTTCAGAATCAGGCCTTTTGGCCATTTTGATAGTGTCATGGGAGGAAAAACTGTTTCCCAGAACCAAACAATTTTATTGCATTCCAGAATCATGTGCAAAACAGGGATCCCATCTGTTTGACAGCATTTTTTTTTTGGTTCTGCCTGCCGCTCACCAGCGTAAGCAGTTCAACAAAGGAGCCTCAGTTTTCAGTGATTGATAAGGTTTTCTTCAAAATACAAGACACCAGTAAGAGGGGCTTCATAATAGTTCACACGTTTGTCAAGGTGTATTTTCTTAAATTCTTTCTTTGAATGGTAAGGCCACTGCAGAGTAGTAGAGTGCTACAGCAATCACTCCTAAATTAAGCCTTCTCTGAGATCACTTTTGCCAAGTCCTCTAAATCCGCAATAAATGAATACATAATAAAAACATTAACCTCAAAACTGATGGATTAAAATTGGGCTGAAATAGACTTCCTTATTTTTTTCCTTATTTTTTATTTGTGTTGAACAAAGGGTGCTTGAATGCAGCACTCTAGATTTAGGCCAGTTTACCAGAGTGATTCTGCAATAAAAAGATTATGAGATAAAAGAGAAAGGATTTAATTTATGGGATTCCTCTAACTGTGGGCTGGTGCCTGGGATTTTTATCATCACCATGAACATCAGCATGTTTTGCTTAGCAAGTATAATGAAGGGCTTCTGGAAATTCTAGGTAAGGTTTTTACAGTTGCTTAATTCTGTATATCTCAATTTCTAAGTGTCTGCTTTGAGTCACCTTAAAGTTCTTTTAATGATCTCCCCATCTGACTGTTCAAGATTCCCCTACCAGCTCTGGAAAATTTCATCCTTGTGCTTTTCCTGTCAGAATCTGATCTGAAAAATAAAATGCAATTTCAGGGGATGCTTGCCCATGGAAAGAGATCATTGTCTGGCTGGGAAGCCAGCCCTGACAGTGTGCGTGGTTTGCTTGCAGGCAGAGAGTGATGCTCACCAAGCCCAGTTTGCCCCAGCCCTTTCCCTGCAGTTAGAGGAGCCGGGGAATATTTGAGTGGCTCCCAAAGGACCCAGCTCATGCATTGTGGCAAGAGGGCTAGAAGAGAGATGTCTTCCAAGCCAGGGGCTGAAGTTGTTTTCTCCTTTCCTACGAAGGTTCAGAGGGAGGACAGGATATCTAGGGAGCCTCATTCTACCCTTTCCTGCCCAAAGTCCACCTGAGCCCCTCCGGTGCAGCAGCACAGCTCAGCAGCCGTGCCAGCTATTTCCTGTAGTCCTCCTGTACACATAGCTCTAGGATGCATCACCGGAGGGTGTCAGCAGCTTCCCTCATCTCTCACAAGGATCTCTTTCACAAGGCATAGGTATTACGGGTGTCATCCATTGCCTAGATTTTCCTGCTCTCTGGGATCTACCATGATGCAGGCAGTTCAGCGTGGGTGGCCTGTAGGGTGCAAGGGAGACAGGTCTGACTTCCACAACTTGGGTTCATCCATAGCTGCCAAGCATCACAAGGGCCAAGTGATGGGCATTGTCAGAGAGATACAACTCATGGGCAATTAAGAGTCATCCCTCGTCTGACTAATGACTGATGTCATAGAATCATAGAATACCAGGCTGGAAGGGCCCTCAGGGATCATCTGGTCAACCTTTCTAGGCAAGAACACAGTCTAAACAAGATGGCCCAGCACCCTGTCCAGCTGTGTCTTGAAAGTGTCCAATGTGGTGGAACCAACCACTCCCCTGGGGAGATTATTCCAATGGTTGACTGTTCTCGTTGTGAAAAATTTTCCTCTCATGTCCAGTCAGAATCTTCTCAGGATTAACTTGTACCCATTCCCCCTTGTCTTTTCCATGTGACTCCTCATGAAAAGGGAGTCTCCAACTTCTTTGTAGCCACACTTTAAATACTGGTAGATGGTGATGAGATCCCCTCTGAGCCTCCTTTTCTCAAGGCTGAACAAGCCCAGTTCTCTCAGCTTGTCCCCATATGACGGGCTTCCCAGTCCTTTGATCATCTTGGTGGCCCTTCTCTGGACCCTGTCCAGCCTGTCCACATCTTTTTTGTATAGCATATATGGGTATGGGTGCCTTTGGGAGTGCATCCATGGCAGGCCATGGCTGGCCCTTGGGTTTTTGAAAGGGGGCAGCCCGGGCTAGAAGTGGTCCCAGGGCACTGAGGTAGGGAGTAAGTAACAAATGTTGAAATTCCTCATAATTTTCATCTTTGTAAGAAAACTTAAGATTTTGCAGGGGCACGGTACGTGATCTGTTAATTTTATCAGCAACAGGTCAAAACGTGTTGATCTTCTGGCAGGTAGGAAGGCACTTAGTGGCTATGGAGGGGAGGCCAGGGGAGGGCTTGGGCTTCAGGACCAAGTAGCAGGTATAAGCTGAGCCCTCAGCTTTTTCATTTGTAAATCAGAATGAAAAAAAAATAGCTGTACCTCCGCATCATGAGGTTTGCGTGAGGCTTAATTAACTTGTGTTTATGACACCCTGCCGGAAAGGTGTTAAGATAATTAGAAACGTTACTCTTACCATCTGTTCATGCCCACTCTGCAGGGGCCACAACCCATGATTAAGATTTCTGGCAGATGTCACAACGCAAATGGTGATGACTAGGAAGTGGGAGTACGGTAACGAGGAGCCCGAGCAGCTCTCCTCCGTCCGAGAACAGGCACGCTCAAGTCCTCGCTGCCCTCCACATGCCCTCATGTCGGGTGAGGTCCCTCGGGGGGACCCAGCCCTACAGCACAGTGCCACCCGGCTCAGTGTCCAGGGGCCAAGGGAGCCTACGCTGAACCATGGTATTTTACGATTAACCTCTAAAAAGCAGACTAATCCGTTCCATGCCTTCTACCCTCACCGCAGGCAACTGCAGAGAGAGGCACTTGCCATTGGGAAGGATGTTTTATTGACGCCGTTAAGGAGTAGAGTGACATCATTTGAATTTTTTGGAACAATGGCCTTCTTCCCACAACTGCCTTGGCTTCTGTTCACTTTGCACTGGCGCCACGCGACTGGCTGGGATCTGACGTTACTCGCAATATTGGGTGCCAGGAGGAAGCAGTCCCTGGAGAGTGGGTGATAGGGAGGAGTCAGCAAAACGCTGATGGGTCCTGGCTGGTTTTTTGTCTGTCGGGGGGGATGGTGGTATTTGGTTTTGGCCTGCTCCATATTTCAGACTTGTAACTTATTAGGAAAATGCCTGCCTGCAGAGCAGGGATCAGGCTTCATGGTATTTGAGGTGCTGGAGGTAGTGACACACATGGATGGGAGAGAGCCAAAGTCGAGTACTGTAGGTAAGGGCTGGAAGCTCACTGGACTGGCGTCAGGCTGAAGGACAGAAATAAGCCAGGATCCTACAAATAAAAACTTCCCTCATTACCCTCTTTCCTCTCCAGAGCAGGTCAGTCCTTTTGCACCAAGGTGAATCTTGGTTTTCCTGCCCTTCCCCTGCTGCTTCCTTTAAGTTCCTCGGCCTCCTTTGCTTCACTTCATTCCTCCTCCTCAGCCAGACACTTCTTTCTTCTGGTGCAACCTGGAGCTCTTTCCCATCAAACCTGGGGTTCCTGCTGTTCATGGGAGTGATGGGCATCCTAACCCATTTGGAAAAAATTAGATGCATGTCGGTGGTGATGTCGGAAGTCCCCTGCTCCACAAACTGCTGAGCAAATATCATCTGCACAAATACAATCTTTTTTCTTAAATCCTGCTAACCTTAATAATTTCCAAATGAAAGATCACACAATTTATTTATTTTAAATATGGAGAAGAGGTACATTCCCCAGCCTCTTCCTTGGCAGTGGTGGAGCTGTTTTGCCTGAAACAAACAATACAAAATAATGCCAAACAACCCCCTCCAAACCACAAAAATCCCAAACCGAAATCAACTCACAACAAGACTAAACTAGCCTGAGGTAGGCACCCAGGGAAGATTTCAGCTCGCTCGCTTTCGGCGATGCCATAAGAAAGCAATGGCAGGACCTCATGCCAGGAAACATCAGGCAACCGGAACCCGAGGCGTGCTGCCCATCTTGCCCGCTGCAGCTGGCCTGGACGCTCGGCAGCCCATAATTCCGGCTGGCAAGCTTGCACCTGAAAAGCAGCTCCAGCGACTTTTTTTTTTTTTCCCCCTTAATGCAAAGCAGTACAAAATATGTGAGGCAGTAAGGACTATGTGAAGCCGTGTGGGTAACCACTGTGCAGAGACTTAGTACCAGTTTCTAAGCCAACAGTCTCCTGGGGCATTAGTTCAACACTCGTTGGTAGTCCAAAAGACAAATCAGCTCTTGGGTTTATCAGGTGGGGAGGGGCAAAGCTTCACCACTGCCTTTATAACCCCATGTGAGCATCTCTCTTGAATACCTGGATTGTGCTTCCTTAGGAAGGTTACAGTTTACTAAATAGCCACAAGCAAAGCAAGCACAAAATATGCTTTAGTTGTATGCTAGTCTTCTTTTTTCAGAAAAACTATGAAATCTGGAGTGATGTGCAGCATGTTTTAAGTTATATTGCAAAGCTTCTTCAAAACCACTTCTTAGGAAAACAATAATTCTTGGGGAAAAGTGCCATCTAAAAATTAATACTGATAAAACCTAAGTTTTTCTTCCTGGGGATTCTCGGGGGAAATGTATAGGTTTGCTATTTCAAATTATTTTCAGAAAATGTGATACCAGTTGTAGGTGTTTTGGAAAGAGATTAAGTGAAGGAGTAGGTGACAGGCATAAATATAAAGTGAACCCTGTGTCACCGAGCTTGCCATGTGTGATTCGAATTCTCCCAAGAAGATAACTTGCAACCTGTTTTTTTTTAAGCCAGCCACCGGATTTCAGGAGCAGGACTCCCAGCTTAAGTCAGCTTCAAGGTGGATGAGCGAAGAATGTTCCTGGAAAAGAAGGAGGGAAAAACAAATCTCCAAAGGTATCTTTTCCCTTTAATGCACTGCCAAGGGTTTTCTTGTAACAGGAAGAGTCAGTTCACAAGGATGGTAAGCCAGGGTTTGGGCCTCAGACATAGTAGCAGGAAAGTTAAAACATGTGAAATTATGCTGCTAATGAGCCTAAGACAATTGGCAAGTCATTATCTCCCGTCAGAGAAGCTGGAAAAGCAGTGTGAGGAAGAAGAGCCTGCACTGCCCGCAGGACAATTTTGGCTGCTAATGAACCTGTATGAATGAATGCACATCAAATTCAGGCCAAGAGTCCTCCTTATTTGTTTATTGCTTCCTGTAGGAATTTGTCCAAAGCTGCTTAGTACACTGCTTTCTCTCACCTTCAAGTTTTAGCCAGTATCATCCCACCTTTGAATAAAGGACCTCAGATCTGTTGCTGATGGAAATGAGTAGCTTTAGACAACTGCATTTTTCAGATCCCCCATGTTCTGCCTCCTCTGCTGTCCAAAATTGCTCCATTGTGAGGTTGCTGACAGCACCACAGTGACCCCCATGGCTGGGCACAGCTGAGGAGCTGCTTTACCTCGCCATTCCCCAAGGTCGTTCTTCTCCACACGGCAGCCTGTGCAACCTCGATTCAGTTGCTTGTTTCCCCAGCTGGGGTTAACCTGGTGACTTTGTGATATGAGTATGCTTCCTCCTAGAAAAGAAAGCCATAGGGCTGGGGTTTTTTTCCCCCCTTTTCACTGACAATGTGTGTTTGCAACTTTCGGATTAAGAGCATCCTCTGGTTTAGGACTGAGCTTTTCTGTTATTATTAGCATGTCTGTGTTGGTATTTTGTTCATGACTGACTGCAAACTGTTTTTCAGCTCTTTCTTGTCTTCCCCAGCACCCATTGTAGGACATCCGACTGGACTGTATTCACCTCCTCAGATTTCAGACTGAGCCTTTGATACCAGGCCCCACGCCATGATAAGATTTGCCTTTAAGAACATACCACCCCAAACTTCGTAATCTCTTCTCCATCTGCATTTACACATCATCTTGTCATTGCCTGATAAAAGATTTTCTTTCCTTCAGGCCGTAGACCACTTACTCTCCAAATGCCTTGTGTTCATTTCACCAAGTCCTAATAATTTCTGACTGTTTTTCCCATTTCCCTACCTATTTGGGCAATCTGCTATAAAGCACTCCCAATTCTGTTTTTAAGAGGAAGGCAAAGCTCTCTTGTGGTTAGCATATTGCCTTGTTTTAGCACTTTTATGTTAACCTACATTAGGTCCACCACGGAATGATTAACTGTCACTCCAGCTTCCCTACCTGTTAGAAGATGGCAAGCCCGTATTTCCCAGTGGAGAACAGGAAAGATATCCAGGGCTCCCAGTGAGGATGAGGGACCTCTTGGTAGGCAGTGAAGCCTGCCCTGGCATTATGCTGGGTTTTATATGTAACAGGATTACAAATTTCACTGACCTTTGTCAGGTATTTCACCCTTGACAGGACAGAGGAAAGCACCCTTACACCCAAGAGACCCAACATTCAATATTCAGTGTGTAGGGGAAGAGAAGATTCAGCTTGGCTTCCTGGAGCAGAAGCTCATGTGGCATAGCTGTTTATTTCCAGTGGCAAAGAGGGAAGAGCTCTTCATTTTTCAGAGCTTAAGGAAAAAATGAAGCTGACAAAGGAGGGAAGAAATTATGGAGATGAAGTAGTCAGAAAAACTTCTTTCGCATCCAAATAAAATATGCAGGCATAGTATATTTTTCCTAAGAGAACCTGATATGAAAAATGTTATCATTGCTGGGCTATGGGAAAGGAAGCATTTTGCCTCCCCATCTCAGTTTGGTTTCAGCAGATAGGCAGAGCCAAAGCTGCCTTGCACAGCTCACAGAAGATGAATTTTCTTATCTTAAAACTGATGTTTTCCAACTGGAGCCTGAATCCTGACCATATGAAGGCACCTGTGTACCCAGGGAAGCAAAGCGCCCGCAGAGCTGTGATGCCAGCTGTGTACCATCGAAGCCAAGTGAACTTTGGTTCCTGAGTTCAGGAAAAAGTTTTATGGGTTGCCTGGGGACTGCATGTGCTTGGTACTTCATACAAAGGGCTCATTTCTTAAGGGTGTTCAAAGTAGAGTCCCATGAAGGGCTGACTGAAAGACAAGGGAGTGAAATGTATGCAGTCTTTGGATGACACCAAGTTTGTGCTGCCCAGCTCTGGGAGCAAACAGCACGAGGCTGGGATTCAGGGTGGGACTGACAAGCCGAGCTTCGGCGAGCAGCAGGAAGAGGACCTTGGTTTACTAGCCGGGGCATGCCACCACTAACGAGGCACGCCACCACTAACGAGGCCAGGGACCGTTCCCAGGAGGCAGAACTTGCTTGTCCTGCTGTTAAACAATTGTTTAGTACAACTGTGTACAATTGTGTACACAACAATTGTGAAGTATTGTTAAACTGTTAGCATAGCTCCTGCCAAAGAGCATCTTCCAAAGAGCTGCTGGCCCAAGGACCATTCCCAGAAGGCAGCTTGGGTTTAGGCACGCTCTTTGGGGGGTAGGAGGGGTTAAATAGATGGTCATGGCACACCTAATGCCAGGCACAATGAATTTACTTGCACAGACATAGCTACAACTTGTACGGAGGAGAAGGTAACAGAGCTTGATTTGAGTGTTCCTGCACAACCTATTTGAGAACAGGCAACGATTTTAAAAAGGGGCTTTACCAAGCCGTAACAAATGCCTGCAGCGATGCTCTGGACAATAGCAACCCATGAAGGGCTGCAGGTGCTCTCCTCTGCTTCCCTGTCAAAACTCACAC